ATGACATTTAAAGAGGCTACATGTATAATGTACTATATAAATATAATTCTGTATTTTCATGAAAACATTCTAATTGAATTGCCCTATTGGTATAACAGTATTTTCATTGAAAATTTGAAATATCCTGCAGCACTTTTGAGGGTGTGCTATTGCCCTGTATCCTTTGGGGATCTTAGTCTGCACTCCTCACCTTAACGGTAATTAAGTAGCTCAGTGTATGTACCTTTTGAGAAAAAATGCTTTTTATTTCCACATGTAGGCACAAATAGACTGAATACATGGTATTAGTTAATTAACATTTCTTTAGGGCAATAATCAAAAGTTAGTAAATAATCTTTTTAAAAATTTATGACCTCGGTGAAAAATTAGGTTAAAATTGACAAGTTATGCCTTTGTTGTTTAAAATTGTTCAGTTGTGATTTAAATGAACAAAAGTAATATTTGAGAAGTACCCTTGTCTAATATTGTATCATAGTTTCCTTGAGATTTCTATTATAGGTTGAATGTTTGTCTGATTAAAATTATTGTTTTAATTTTAAGAAGAGTAAGACAGGAAATAAGATGCTTCACTCATTCTTTTTTGTTACATATATTAATAGAAAGTGAATGGATTTGAGTTCTGACTGCTAGCTCTTGGCTAAGCTTAGCACTGACCACCATTTCTGGTGCTAGTGATCAGTTTAGGAATGACTGTGACCTTCAGATTAATTAGATTTAATAGTAAAATAAACTAATGAGTGTTTGGGAAAGGTTTCCTCATTGATAGTAAGAGAACTACCAAGAGAGATTTTTTTTAATGGGACAATGTGACTTGATTTGATATGCTAAATTCAAGGAATTCCTTTTGTTGACTATTAAGAGAGAACTGAACTAATACACTCAAAGCATCAGAAAAGAGTATGAAAGATTCCTGGCTCCCTGTAAGGAGAAAGAATGATTGAGTTCCAAAAAGTCTATCTTTTCACTGACTGCACCAAAAAAGTACCAATCCATATATATATATGTGCAATTTATATATATATATATATATATATATATATATAGAGAGAGAGAGAGAGAGAGAGAGAGAGAGAGAGAGCGCAAGCACTGCACTGTCCTTTCGTTGTTCATCGATTTGCTTGAGTGGGCACCAGTAATGTCTTCATTGTGACACTTGTTGTTACTGTTTTTGGCATATTTAGCATATTGAATACACCACAGGGAGCTTGCCAGGCTCTGCAGTACGTGCGGGATACTTTCGGTAGCTTGCCAGGCTCTCTGAGAGGGACGGAGTATAGATAGATACTGTCACTGTCACTGTCCTCCTGTTGTTCATTGATTTGCTCGAGCGGGCCCAGTAACGTCTCCATTGTGACAATTGTTACTGTTTGGCATATTAGATACGTCACGGGTAGCTTGCCAGGGTTTGCCGTGCAGGCAAAATACTCTCGGTAGCTTGCCAGGCTCTCTGAGAGGGGCGGAGGAATCAAACTCGGCTGGGCCATGTTGGCTGCGTGCAAGGCAAACACCCTACCCGCTGTGCTATCTCCAGCCCATATATATATATTTTTACATATATATATGTAAAAATATATATATGTAAAATATATATATTATATATTTTTACATATATACACATATATATGTATATGTATATACACACATACATACATATATGTATATTTATTAACTACATTTAACTATTAGTTTTATTCCTTAATTTTAGATGCTATTTAAGCTAAGCTAGACTCAAATCCTTAGGGCCTATAGAATAACTAATCAAATGAGTTTTGAAAACCTTCCCAAGTGACCTTACATCTTCATTCTATTTGTTTCTGCCCTTCCATGGAGAATCTCTAGATAAGACCATTCTGAAATTAAATGAACAGGAGTTAATGAATGATTGATGATACATGGGAATTAGTTAAAGGGAGGGTTCTAGTCAGTGATCAGGATTTTGATTTGGGTAATTGAGTAGATGCTGCAGCCATTGCAAGGTTTTAAGGACTATAACTTACGGATTTTGTTCTGAACTTGAGATTTCTGGGGAACAATTAAAAATTAGTACTAGAAAGAAGTTAGATTAATAATATAGCATTCACAGAACTATTTATGAAACTAAGAGATGTGATAGTTGTAATTGAATCCGTAGATGAGGTTTAGGGTATGGATGATACTGCCTTAGCGGATATGCCTTACCGAATATGAAAAAGACAAATATCTGGAACCTTAGAAAAAAGTCTGTATTTCAATATTGAGTAGGGAAAAAGTTGAGAAAAAAGTTACTGATACTTTAGTGAAATATTTTACTTTAGACTTTTCTCAGAAAAAATTTAAGATGTTTGTAGTTATCAACCTTTAACCCAGAGGAACACTTTACATAGTTTAGCTCGTTCACTTTTATTTGCTCAATTTATAGTTCTAAATGATAACCTCATGGGATAATAGGATTCTATACCACTCTTAACACTAAATCAATTTTATCATAAAGATTACTAGTAAGGAAAATTATGTGGAATTAAGAAAAACTCAAATAATTTCCGTCCATTATCCTCTAGGGATTTATATGTTAGTTTATAATTTTTGGCCATATTCAGACGTTTTATTGCTCCTTGTATTTTTCTTCTCATAATTTCTGTAGTCTGTTTTATTTTTCCATTATTTCTAACATTTCTCAGGTATTTGTACAATATGTTAATTTTGTATGAAGTAAAAATATTTTAGCAATGAATTTTTAAAACTAATTCTTAACGAAGGAAATTGGTATTTTACAGAAAGAGAGTCTGTGAAAGGGGAGACAATTTTGAGTAGTATTACCTGAAACCTTTCATGTAAACTATTAAGTCAACATGCAATTATACGTATGTGTTACCTAAAAAATATTAGGAGAAATGTTACATCTTATGAACACTTCCAATAGGTAAAAGGTATAATTTTCAGTTAAATGTTATTACGGCTGACCGGGTCCAGAATGATCTATTTTTAGGTAACTTCCTCCAACACTTCTCTATCTTTTTAAACTTCTGTTTGAATTGCACCTGTAATTAAGGAAGTAGACTCAGCTCAGGGAGCTAGGTAGGACTTCCAGCCATTGATCTGTGTAAACCCAGCTTATACTGTCAGGGGAGAAACAGTCAACTGCTGAGCTGCTTTGTCACTGACATAAGCTGAGAGAGGATTTTTTTGTCTATTCTGTTTATACACTAGTCTATAGACCTGCTGGCTGGTTGAATTTTAAAAAGTGCGGAGGTTTAAAGACTTGTCCCCTGAGGGATGCTTCTGCCAGTTGGGAAGCGAGCTGAGGCTGTTCTGCAGAAGGGTGTGCATGCGTGTTGCCTGTGGAAGAAGGGAAGGGGGAGGGTGTGAAAGACTGAGCAACTAACTGGGAAGTGTTCTTCCTCATTTGAGTTTTAAAATGGATATGAAACATATTACAAATCGGGGTACAGTCAGGTGCTAAGAATGAATATTTGAGTGCTGTGCTATTAGTGCAGTTATCGAAACAGTTTACAAAGGGCCTATCTTAGTAGTGCTCTTACTATAGTAAGTATGGCAGTAGATCCTATACACTGCACAAGATAAGGATTAGCAATGGTCAAATGAACGTGTGTTAATAATGAACCGCATAAGTAACTTTAATGTTTCCAACTTATTGACCCTTTAAAATGACATTGAGCAAATATTGTCTGTAGTAAAACTAGTGTTTTCTAAAGATGGCATCTGTGTGATACTTTTGGGAAGGTACAGATACATTAGTAAACCAGGATTCTGTTAAAAAGGTAGAGGACTGATTTGTTTTTAAAGGCACCTTTCTTCTTCAGTAACGCAAGGCTCTTAAAGCTTCTGTAAGTATTGCCGTTGGAATTTTGCAGTGTTTTTTTTTTTGTTACCTTTTACAACCTATATTTTAAAATAATACAGTTTTACTTCCATACAAATCATTCTACATAAAGTTTAAATGGTCAAATACTGATACTATTCCTGGATGCAAGTTTTACCTGTAAGAAGGTACTAATTAAGTTTTTTGAGGGGCTAGACGTGGGGGTATAGGTGATTTGACTATTACAATATGATAGTTGCTCTGTTTTCTTTTAATAGAAAGTCTGCTCCTAAATCTCAGCTCTGTCTTGCAAAATTGGTTAACTTTGAACTTCTATAACATTATTTTCAATTCTAAAATTTAACTATGATCAAAGTTATTTTAGATCATTTTCTGTTTGTCATATGGATGACATCTTGTTATACTTGTTATGTTTGTAGGATAAAGAATTTTGTAAAATCATTTTTGACTGTTATAAAATCAGTTCATATCAAAATTAATATTTTTTGCTTAATTAGAACATTGCATATTAGGTAATTCTTAAAGGAAAGTGTACAGGATCTATGTTTTATTTTTTAAGGCTTTTTATAAAAGCTACTTATTGCTTTCAGAATGTTATTTGACATAAAACTTAGTGTTACTGTTGTTAATATACTAAATTTACTAAGAGTTGGAACAGAAATGTGTTTCTTTAGCAATGGAAAGTCTCTTTGAAAAAGATCCTTTTTCTCTGGGACATGTAGAGTTGTTATACCATTCAGTAATTCATTCAGCTGCCAATTTCATTCCCTTTTCTCTGCCTGCATTTTAATTGAAACAACATTTATATTTTTGAGCCAGGATCTGTCAGAAGTCCCTGTGGCTAGTCTGTGGTACAAGTAGCAGCAGCCGTAGCTTACCCATATGGTGCTGTGCTTCTTGTAAAATCCATATGGCCTTGTTGAAGGGAATCCCAGCGGGGATGTGAAGGGTGTTAATACCCTTCAGGCCAGGCCTTTCCCTCCTGGGGCTTTCGTGGCATTGTCAGTGCAATCTGCCAAGCACAAACTTAATTCCTTTTTAATAATCAATTATTTTAGTCTAGGAACCTCTGCTATTTTTCTTAAGGAAATAAAAGATGTTTTCTCTCAAAAATGTCTCCAGAAAGCTTTACCTGCATTTTAAAAAATATGCTAAGGTTGTTTTTATTTGACATTTTCAGGAAGTCCTACAGAGTGTGCCAAAGTTTTGTTTCCCCTTTGACATCGAAAGGTATAGTATGAGTCATTTAAAATCACTTTAGTCCATCTTAGCGATTCCCTCAAGTTTTTCTGTGTATTTTTAAAAATTCAATTAAGTCTACTTTCTCATCACTGCTTCTAATAGGAAAGATCAGATGTGATTTGAAATTAAATAGCACTGGGAATAAAGAAGTCTTTAAAATTATTATGTCTTTTGTTTTTTTCACACTGTGTTCAGTTAGGAGAAATCTTAAGGTTCCAATTCTTTTATTTTTCAGGTAGTGAAAAGTTCGTACATTGCAAGAAGTAATAGAAAATATTAATATGTCTTTCATCAGAACCCTAGAACCACGTTTAAAATTTATATATACATGTCCTGGTTTCTATCTCACTTACCATAATTGAAAAGACCATCTGTGTGATACTGTAAAACTCATGGCTAGTTTTCTCCCAAGAATAGCTTTATAGAAATAGTACATTATTATGGAGGGCTGCGGGGAAACCTAGCAGTGTTGAGGATCTCATTATGTTTTTATTTTACTGAATAAATAATGAATGTGGCATTACCTGTGTGTAGTTGTAATTTCACAAAATATATAACCCTTTGAGCATAATTACAATTTATATATTGTTTCCTTGTGATTTTCACTCCCTATTATTCGTTTTTATAAAAGGAGTGTCATATGAGAAGATCTTAAAAGAAAATTTATTTAAAAAAATATTTTTCCTAAAGTGAAAATCTAAAATTTTACAGTAGTATAGATAAAGCCTTTGGAATGATGGTCCAATTAATACTAATAAGCATTGATAATGAACATACTTTGTTTTATGTTCTTTCTTGGGATTCAGTTGTATATTCTAAGTTACAATTTTCAGATCATAGCAAGGATAAATTTAACTAAGAATAGTTAGAAAAGTGCATCATGAACATTGGGCACCAAAGGGCATATTAGGTGCTGGAGGTTGTTCTGGAAGTTTGCAAAAAATTTTAAAAAGATCTCTCACTTAGAAGGGCTTTTTGTAAAATATTCAGCATTTGAATGCACTGTTTACTGACCAAAGTAATTTTTTACTACTGAGACTAATTGAAAAATTATTTATTTCCTTTTATTTAATTCTTATGGTTATTTCAAGATCGACATTTAGGTTTTACAGATATTTTATTGCAGAATAAAGGATAATAATACATTAAAGGAAAGTTTGTATTTTATAACAAAAGACATTTTAAAAACAGTGTATTTTAAATAGTAATAAACGTTCAGTATAATGATTTATGTTATGCCCCATGTTTGTATGACCCATGCTATAGTATTATAATGCTTAGCTAAAATCCTTTGTAGTAAGTTTTTTTGTAGAAATTGTATGTTTAGTTTGTACTTGTAAATTTATTCCAGAATATATGTAGCTCTAGAAGAGAATGCTAAAAAGCACCAGTGGTATTTTGCATTAGCTTAATGGGTGAGAATGTTAATGGAAGCAGCAGTTAAGCAGAGTTGGTGGTGACGACCCTTGCTTTGCTGTCTAAGGGTCTTCAAATAATCAGAAAAAGAGGACAGCATTGAGCAGACTAGTCATTATGTCCAGCTCCTCACCTTCACCATCTAAGTTGTTTTTTCAGAATGTATGAGATTATTTTAAAATACTTCTAGGCATACAAAAACGTAGAGTAAAATAGTTTATGGTTGTTTAGGAAGGAATTGGTATGTGCTTATTTGTTCAGTCTATAAAGTGTTATGTGTAATTTATTTTGATGCTTGACTCATGAATTAGCTTTCACATTTCACACAATTTTAGAACATGGTTCTAGCTTTGAGAAACAACTGATTGAAAGGAAGCCAGTGCTGAACATAAATATGTTTGCTTTTTTTTTTTTTTAAGAAAATTCATGTATAAGGCTTTTAACGTTTCATAATATTGCTGTATTCTAGAGTGTCGCAAAATCAAGTTGGACAGCACTTTACATTTGTACTGACAGACATTGAAAGTAAACAGAGATTTGGATTTTGCAGACTCACCTCAGGAGGCAAAGTCTGCTTATGCATTTTAAGGTGAGTATTTGTAGTAAAAAAAATCAGATATCCAGTAGATTAATTGTATTTTGGAGGGCATTTTATATGCTTGGGATGCTTACAATATGACTATATTTTTGTTTTCCCTGAACTGTCTTAAAGATTTATCAGTAACAGTAGAATTTTATGGAAAGCCTTGACTTTACAGATTATTTTTAGTTCATTTTTGAAAATTAAATACTAAGATCTGAGTTAAAATAATATATGCTTCACATGTTAAATAGTAGCAAAAATTCAATGAAATGGATGATGGATGTGTAGTTATTTTCTGTCACTGAGCCAAAAACTTGGATATTTGAAAGTGAATTCCTGCCCTAAGGCAAAGATTGGAAACCTGTGATTCATATAAGCAGTATAATAGTTTCAATCAAGTGGAAGAGACTAATAGTGGGAACAGTGGGGTAAACTGTGGAAACAGGAGAACCAATCAGAACACAAACTCCTCTTCTGAGAAAATGAGAAAGTTAGCATTAAATTTTAGGAATGACTTGTGCCTGGCTTCTTTCCCTGAACATATTTGATTAAGTCTCTCCATGCTGTGATATGTATTTTATTATACTTTAGAGCTGGATAATATTGCACGTGTGGATACATACCTCACATACTTGTTTAATCATCACTGATGGACTCTGGTTACAGTTTTATGTACTACTGAAGTAAATAGTTCTTGAATTGATTTTTATCACAGGTTTACAAAATGCTGACTCTTAGGTAGTATGATGGCACCAGGTGTGCTAAATATCAATTCCATTCTACTAGCTACTTCAAGTGACCATAAATATGGTGGCTTTTAAAGATTTTTTTCTTTTTAAAATGTTTACTACCCACAGCCCTGAAACATGACCTAGAGAAAATACCCACCTGCTCATTTATTTGCTTCAGTGTTTTACTTGACATGGAGAATGTGGTGGATGATTCCAAAGGTCTTATTGCACTCCTTTTTAATTATATCATTGATAGCGTCTATTTTCAACATTAAATATGTTCGGAGTGACATGTGGTCAATAAAAAATGATTTTATAAAAAGTGGTTCAGAATAAAAAGAAACTTGTGATTAGGTTTGGGAGTGTTTCAAGGTATTTTCTTTAGCCCCACATTTAAGCAATTTTGAAAGATGTTTGCAGCCTTATGCATTTTTTTGCGGTTTTCCATAAAGGCCAACCTCTAATGCCTTTGATAAATGGGAATATTTGCAAATTCTGGTTCTGCATTCCTCAGTAGTAGCAGTCAGCTGAAATTATGCGGCAGGTTTTTATTTGAGTGATGAGCTTGCTAGTTTTTCCTGTTATCCTGTTCTGGTCACTTATACCATCTGATTGGCTGAATAGTTAAGTGTGTTCGGTATTTTAGCCTTAGTTTTTGATTTGCTAGTTATTAAGAAGGAAGTATCGTAAAGGCCTAATCAGTCCCTGTTATGTTTCTTCTGTTCACAGGGACAGGTTGGTGAAGAAGGGGAGAGGGCACTTTTGTGATAGTATGGTTCAGTAACTTTTTATATGAACAACATAACTTTTCGTTTGTTTTTGGGCCACTCTTACTGGTGCTCAGGATTTACACCTGGCTTTGGACTTAGGGATTGCTCCTACTGGAGCTTGGGGGAACCATATGTGATCCCAGAAATCAGACCTGATTTGGCCTTGCACGAGGCAAGTACTCTACCTTCTCTGTACTATCACTCCAGCCCCAAATAAAAAATTTTAAAATGCTTTGTAATATAGGCATATCAAACTTTGTAATGCACACACAGGTTTAGCCTCCTTATGATGTTTACTTATGGTAAATCAGAATATTCCATAAAAAGAGACCTCTGGATTGTTAACATGATATGGATATTCACCAGTTTAGAGTCTATTAAAATATATATAGACATATAAAACATATATAGGAAAAGAAATAATATTTCTTTTAAATTATTAAGTTAAAATTATTAAGTTTATTATATTAAGTTAAAATATCACAAAGAAAGCATTGGTATAAAATTGTTGATCTCTTTCATATGAAGGACATAAAGAAGCACAGCAAGGGACTAACAAATGCCAAATGCAGCAGAAATTGAGAGCTGATCTTCAGTAGGAAGTTTAGAAGGGGTGGGGCTGGGTGTGGGGTGTGAGATAGAAGGGAGGGGATGGAAGAGAAGAGGATGGGCCATTTACACAATGGTAGAAAATCGTGGATTATCTGGTGGAGGGTATGGTGCTGGAATGATTTATACATGAAGCGCTACCATTCATAATTTTAAAAACCATGTACCATGTACCATGTACCCTGACCCTGAAAGAACCTCCAGTACGGCAGTGTTGAGAAAGATGAGTAAGGAGAAGCTGCTAAAATCTCAGGGCTGGGATGAATGGAGACGTTACTGGTGCCTGCTTGAGTAAATCGATGAACAACGGGATGACAGTAATACAGTGATACTCTGATGTACCTAAGAAGAAAAGATAACTTATTTATTTATTTATTTTTATTGAATCAACATGAGCTAGACAGTTACAAAGCTGTTTGTGATTGGGTTTCAGTCACACAAGAAAAGATAAATTGTTTAAAATTCTTAGAAAGAAAAGGAAAGGTTTAAGGACCAGGGTTATAGGGTAGTGGTAGAGCACATACTTTGCATATGTGAGTTCCTTTGTTTGAGCCTCGGTACCGAAAATGAAAATAAAAAAAATAACTTGTCCACTCTGATGTGCTATTTAGCTGTATTCATATCATTCTTTTGAGGACAAAGTTATAAATTTGTGTAGACTTTTAGAGTTGGAAAATTGTTTTCCAGTCTTTATTCAAAATAAATGTTTAATTGTATTAGAAATAATAAAATGTGTATGTGTCTCTGACTTATCTTTGGGCACAACTTTTTCATCTGGTCAAGAATTGTATTTGAAACTTGCATGTTATCCTGGAGTGTTACACATCATACTCTAGGTTGATTCTTCTCATTTGAAGCCAGTTGGTTAGGGTATAAGAATGGATTGTTGGAGAGTGATAAGAGAGTGCTTTCTTTTCTCTGTTTCATGTTGAAAGGACAAAACCAACAGTTTTAAGGGGTCCAGTAATCTTATGACTGCTGCTGAAATAGTCCTAACAGAGATTCCCAAACTTTTTCGTCTGCTGCCTCTCTGTCACTGACACTGTCACTGTTCTCCTGTTGTTCATCGATTTGCTCAAGTGGACCCAGTAACGTCTCCATTGTGAGACTTGTTACTGTGTTTGGCATATCGAATATGTCTTGGGAACTTGCCAGGCTTTGCTGTGTGGGTGAGATTCTCTCGGTAGCTTGCCGGGTTCTCCGAGAGGGGTGGAGGAATTGAACCCTGGTCAGCCGCGTGCAAGGCAAACTTTCTACCCGCTGGGCTACCGCTCAAGCCCACTGCCTCTCTATAGAAAAAAAAAATTGATTAGCACTGATTGGGAAATCTATGTTCTTTAAGTGAATAGACATAAAGTGGCTCGTGAAATGTTCCTGAGGTTACCACTTGTCCCCTCTCCAGCTTCCTAGTACAGGGAAACACTGCCGTAATAGAAAGACCAGGACTGTATATGCTTCCATAATTTCTCTATGCATTTAAAATTTTTTCATTAGAAACATGAAATGTATAGAAACCTTTTCAAAATAGCTTAGTGAACTATTATCTACACATCATCGGACACTGGAGTTAACATGCTTCTGTGTCTAACACATGTACAAATTCTCTTTATCTCTCATTCTTGTTACTTCCAGAGACATATTAGAATCAGTATGCTTTTCAGGAATACTTGTATTTTAAGCTTTCCCTTAGTGCCTCCAAAATTCTTGATATATCAGGATTTTAAAGAGTATGAATCTATTTCCATGGGAATCTTATAATCTGCTACACTGAAGGATTAACCATTGGCATATAGCAGGTCAGGAAGATAGCTCAGTGCTCAGCAGATACCTGGCATGTCCTAGCATGGTCCTGAGCCCCAATCCCTTCCTTACCACTGTCACCCCCTGCATATACACTGGTTATGGTCTTAGTGGCTCTCTGAGCACTGCTGGCTATGTGGACTAGTCCTTACTGAAAATAGCAGAAGTTATTGAATTTTAGAATACTTCATGTAAATATGCTTATAGAACGTTCAGTGAAATTTATGGTTAGAAGTTTTTTTTTCTTTTTGGGTTACACCCAGCCATGCACAGGGGTTACTTCTGGCTCTACACTCAGGAATTACTCTTGGTGATGCTCAGGGGACCATATGGAATGCTGGGAATAGGACCTGGGTCACCCGTGTGCAAGGCAAACGCCCTACCAGCTGTGCTATTGCTCTAGCCCCTATGGTTAATTTTTGAAAACCGTCATTATTTGAAAATATTCACTCCAAATGTGAATCAAATAGCAAGTTTTGTATAGTGTCCATATATCCCCCAAGACACTAATTTGTAGCAAAAAGATTCTAAAGCAGTGACAATATTGTGTCATTCCATTGTTTTCAAGCCTGTACACAGGCAGAACACCTGAAGGTCCAGTACACATTAGCATCAAGGTTGACAGAGTGAAATTTTAAAGAAAGATATATATGCTGCTTGCAGCACTATAAAATCATATTTGTTTATTTTATTTAAAATGATTGTAGTTTAAGTGTAGTATCAACGTTTATGGTTTGGCTATGCAGTCACCAGCAAAGAGCCCAAGATTCTCCACCACTGTTCTGATGACATCTTTAGAAAAATGTCACATTTCAAAGGAAAATGTACTTCAGTACTGCCAGGCAGGGCCCTAAAGAACCCCACTATTGACCCCCCCAAGGACCCCCAGGTGCGGCCTGCAGACTCCAGCAGTTGGTCTGAGTAGTAGTACTACATTGCTTGATGCCGGCATTGAACTGTCCCACGCAGTTGGTCTATTGTTGCTCCCGGGTCCTCCATGGAAGCTGCCCTCCTCAAAAACAGAAGGAAAGTTTAAAATTGATCAGATTTATTAGGCCTCATTACTCTGGGCTCAGTTAATTTAAGTTTTGGAATT